ATGAATTGAGGAATGCTTATGAATGAACTTTTATCACATCAACATGTGATACAGTATTTGTAAAATAGATGTACCTGATATCCAAGACATTTTTTCATTCATTATGTAAATGATGCTTGGTGGCCCTACAAACTTGCAGATTCCTTGAAATAACTCTTAGATTCACCCTCCTGCTCCCAAACCCAAAGTTGCTTGGTTCACAGTTTGGCCGAGCCAGTATTTTAGATTACCTTTTTCCCAAAGTCATTCCCATCTGAGTTTTTAAATGAGCTCTTTCTTGCCTTTCCACAATGCCAAATTGTGTTTATTTCAGCTTCTAAGCATTTATTGACTCCCTCCCCTCTTTTTTTACACCTCCTGCCACTACTGCAGTCCAGGCCCTGCTTACCCCTCACATGTACTGATGCAGCAGCCTTCTATCTGGTCTCTTTTCTTACTGTCTGTCCCTTCTCCACTCCATTCTCCATACTGCAGCCAGAGTGATCTTTCTGGTTGTGTCCTTTCCTCACCTTAAATTCTGCTACTCATGTGTCCCATCATGAGACATGTTTGTGTTCTGTAAACACATCAAATGCACGAGCATTTGTTGGAGCCAGTTCTTTTGGTGGGAACAGTCTTTCTCCTGTACATGGCGAACACAAGCTCAGCTCAGATGTCCCTTACGAAGCTTTGTTACTCAACCCCCATATTCCTCCTGGCATCCTGTAGCACTTTGTACAGGCTTTGGTTATGGACTTCTCACACTGTGGGCACTTTGGGGATAGGGACTTTCAAGTTGTGTTTGTATCCCCAATCACCTTGAACAGTGCCTGGTACATGGTAAATGCCCAGTGAATGTTTACTGAACACACTGATGTGGATTGGTATGCTTGTGAGCATGGGCCCTTCTTTGAGACTAGCAGGAGTATGGGATTCTATGTAGTGGGGAGATATGGAAATAGAGTGAGGAAAAATGTGTTAGTTATTTCCCAATTCTGTTTTCTCCATTTCAATCTCTTCTGAAATTTTTTCTCTCAAATAAGACTTTATTGAATTTTTCTGATCGCAAAAGCAACACATGGCATAGTATTTACAAAGACATCATACAGGTTTGAATTCAAATTTTGCTACTTATTGGCTGTGTGCCTTGCACATAGTACCTAACATCTTTATGCCTTAGTTGTCTCATCTGAAAAGTGGGAGTTATTCTAATAATACTTACCTCATAAGATTGTCATGAAGATGCAACTGGAAAGTGCACGCAAGTGCTTAGCACAGTGTCTGGCACAGTAATTGCTCAGTAAGTATACACAGCTGTAATCGTTATGTTCAATGCAGAAAAGGTACAGGTCCGTGAGACCTGGATACAGCTGGAGCCCTAGGGCCCAGGATCTTCCCTGTGTTACATTAAAAGAAAACACAAATCTGACTGTAGAAGGCTTGCAGAATAATTTTGACCTTTTAAGATAGCCTTTCTCAACCAGGGTTCACCTGAACCACAAAACTCTGCACTGGAGTGACTATTTTTTTCTCTTCATCGAGGATGCTAGGTAGCTAACACTATTCTAGATGCACAGGAAAGTTAATTCATTATGTACAATGCATGATGTAGGAACTGAGGCTTAATCTCCCCACCCTTCTTTAAGAAAGGCTGCTCTGATGCTTCTTGAAGACTTGGTGCAGGGACTCGGCAGAGTGCATCAGTCACATCCTCCTAAGTCCTCTCTAGAAACCTCTCCCTTTCCTTGAATCTTCTCACTTATGGCAGTTGTTAGAAATCCCTCCCTCCTTCCTCCCTCACCCATATGATTTGTTCCTAGAACACCATTCATTTGTTCCTTCTCCATATTGTGCTTGCCACATACCCAGTAGTTTCTGACAGGTGTCCCCTTAACTTTTCTTGAAAGACTAACATGTCTCTCCCCATCCCTGTGTACCCTCTTTCACCTCTGGAATTGCAGTGAAGAATATCTCCAAGAAAATTAATGCAAGTAACTGGATTACAGAGTAGTAAACATGATTGACATCTCTTTTCTTCACATGCAGACTTTTTAAAGTCATCTAGATCCCTTGCTATTGTCAAACGCCTCTCCTTAACAAAAATTATAGAATTATCTAGTCACTTAATCTAGCTGTGTCATATTTGTGCTGCTGAAGCTCCTGCTAGACTGTGTATGGCAGAGCAAGTCTGCTCTTCCTGGTGCCATTCCATTTCCTGCTCCTCCTGAGTGCTGACAAGGCTCATGCTGCCTCCCAGGAAGGCAGCGGGCACCTTTTTTGTGGGGAGGAGGGATAGGTCATGATGTCTCCTCTGTTAGCAAGGAAGAATACTGGGTAAGCAATTACTAGTGTTTACCACAATTCATATAATGGAATATCATATAGCCATTAATTTTTGAAGAATATTTATTGACATGGGAAAATGCTTACAATATGTTAAAGAAGAAAGCAGGGTACAAATCTGTAAATACAGCATGATCCCAATCTTGTAGTAAAATAAATTATATATGCATAGAAAAAACACAGGACAGAAATACACCAAAACATTAACAGAGATTATCTCAGGTGGTGGGTTTTGGGGTGAATTATTAACTTTATTATTTCCTGTATTCTCCAGACTTTCCACAATGAACATATATTACTTTTATAATGGGGGTGGAGGGGAAGGAAAGTCAATGTAAGAGACACCTAGTACTGGGAGGCGGCAAGACTGATGGTAGCAAGGGGATGTTGAGTACTTGTACTGCCTCTGCCTATGTCTTCATTTATAAAGGAGGGACAATAACACCTGTCCTGTGCACTTGCCAGGACCACCCGGTGTGTGAAGGGGCCTCAAGTGTCTGTTGACTGTTACTCTAAAGCAGCAGCTCAAGCGCCTTATTTTAGAACCCGCTTCTCCATACCCTGTTTTAAAGGTTGGGAGGGATGTGGACACAGGGGCCTGCAGAGTGCAGTTGGCCAGTATATTCTCACCATCCCCACTGCAGGCCACCGAGCCAGGCAGATGTCGAGGGTCAGGGTGGTTGGGGCAGGGGGGCCGGGGGGGAGCCTGCAGCCCTCATCTCTGACCTAAAGGATTCCAGGTCCTTCCTTATTTGAAATCCAGTACTAACTGAGCAAGTTTCCTACTCACACTTCAACTTCATTCAGGTCACCTCCCTGCTTAATAAGTTCTTTAAACCAGTTCTGCTGAAATAGTTATTGCTTAAAATGGCCTGAGAATTACCACTCTCCCAGCATTCCAGAGTCATAAGGGGGCACAACATGGACCCAGGTGGGCAGCGTGAAGGGTAAGGAGAGGTACTGGGGGTCAGGCTGGCCACAGTTGGATTTTTACTTGCTCTGTGATGTTGGGTAACTGACTTTGCTTTCCAGAGATGATCTCTTCAATATGAGATGTGATGACGTTGCAAGATAAGATACATAAAAAGCCCAGCACAGAGCAAGCAATCAACAGATGTTAGTTCTCTTTTCCGTGTGCAAGATGAGGTCACTTTCATCTTCTCCCTCTGCAAATTCTCTCTTCAAAACAAAGCTTAGTGCCCAGTATGGGGAAACTCAAAATGAAACAGAACTCATTGAAAGCAGAAGAGCACAGCTACTTAAACAGGACTGTTCAAACACTCTGCGTATAGCTGGCAAGATGGTGTTTCATTAAACATGTCTTCTTTTAGGTAAGCCGACACTCATGCCAAAGCTATTTAATTGCAGAAATTATAAAAATACTTTAAAAATGCATTTGTAGAATGAAGTAACAAAAATACTTAAATTCTTTTTTCTAAACTTTTTTTCATTTAATCTAAAATTATGAATTACCAAGTTTCATTTTATTTACTGTTAAAACATGGGTCACACATAACTTATACTCCCAACTATTTTGGATAAAAAAATCCTAAAATGTATTCTTCCTAGTCATTTTAGAGAGTATTCTTTTTTTAAAAAAAGAAACACAAGTTCATCGTTATGAGAATTAGTTTATAGGCCATAATGTTGTACAGATACTTTCTGGGTCAACTAGAATGTCCTTTAGGAAACAGATGGTCCCAGACTTACGACGTCTTGAGTAGTTTTCATTCTCCCCACATTCCTATCCGGTTTTCAGTTGGCTTTTTGCTGCTTTCAGTAGGTCTGCTTTCCATCTAACAGTCTCCTCCTTTGCCATTTTTTTTTGTGGGCTTGGAAGTCAGATAACTAAACATGTTAGAAGTATATGCAAATTTTAGTAAAGAGGCAAAAGGTGAGATTCTTGAGGATCTCTCCTATAAATAAATTGTAAGAAACTTTGCCATCTCTTTTGGCAGCTCTAAGGCTTTTTAAAACTGAATTCCTGATTTGTACTTTTGCCAGAGAAGTGACTTCTGGATAAATGACATTTTCACTAATACTTCATGTACTTTATCCTTAGAAAGGCTATTTATTATAAGTGAGATAACAGATGTAAAAGCACTTTAAAAAAGCATAAACTGTGAAATAGGATTGTTTACCCCCCGTATCTATAAAGAAACACACACAGATAGCTAAATTGAATCAACCCCAATGTTTTATTTAATTTAAAGTTTTAAAAGGCAGTGGTTAAGCACATTATGTGTGTATATATATATATATATATATATATATATGTATATACATACATATATATATATAAAAGGAAACCAAACCCTTTTCAACTTTAGCCATTGATTAACTAGGCCCACTGTCTATTGCATGATTCATTTTCTACTTCGTCATATGACCAATCCTAAAAGTAAAAATAAACAGCCTTAATCAGTTTAACAGTAACTATTTGTGTTTCTTTTTTAAATAAATAAAGTTACCATTAAACTGATCACATATGGTAGAAAGGTAGGACACACACACACAAGCACACAGAGTGAGTCCCCAATTTAAAACATGTGACATTTGAGTGACCTATATGTACAAATGGGTGCTGCTGACTCCCCCACCCTCAGCAGAGGGCTCAAAAGGACCCCCCGTACCCAGGGGGTCCCCATTCCCTCTACCAGGTTGGAGGCACCCCTATATTAGACCTCAGAATGCATGTTCCCCATGCAGTGATACAGATGGGGGTTCAGTTCTATGGTACTAGTGTTCAGGTTATTAGGGAATAAATAGGCATTTGTAGCTGCCTCAGAACTAAACCATCATTTATAACTTTATAGGGAGAAATGTATTCTGAAGTTCTAGATAACTGACATACAAACTTTTTGAATGTAATCAGTTTGCAAGTCTGGGGCTGTTGTGTGTGTGTGTGTGTGTGTGTGTGTGTGCATTTCTATAGATTTATACAAAATTGAAATGAAGAGTGGGGCTACGTTTATGGAGCAGCTGCTTGGCTTCCATTCACTCAGTCCTGATCTAACAAGTCACTTGCCTCAGCCCCTTTTTAGCAGCTCGTTCTGCTTCTCACATGCCTCTGTCTCTGGAGATATTCAGAAAGGGCAGCTCACACAAGTGAGAGGAAGGACACGGCTAAATCTTCTGTTAAGAATCTTGGCAAACAGAACTGCCAGATTCAACCAGGGCTGCTTTTAGAGTGAAGTCCTTCAGTTCCATCTTGACAAAATGGAATTATTCTTTTTTCTGTTCCTAGTCTCTGCAACTCCGTCTAATTGCAGCTCTGTATGAATGCCTCAATATCGCAAAACACAGGATCACTTCTTAAATATGCTGGATTCTCAATGAGTAAACCAGTTAATGTGTTTCTAGCCAAAGCAAGGGCATAAATGTTTTAGAGGAAAGATTCCCCTGGAGCTACAGAGAAAAGATGCTGATAAAAGCAATACTGAGAGTTGAGCAGGTGATGCTTTTAGTCTGTGTCAGAGCTGGTCTCCTCGATGACAGAGTACTGGTTGAGTGCTTCCTCCAAAGGCGTTATTGTCCCATCAGGTTTTAGTCCCATTGGTTTAAGCAACTCCTCTCTGGAAAAAAGAGAGAAAAGAAAGAAAAAAAAGTATTCACCAGCATCACACACACCCCCTCCCCCCACCCAAATCCACATCCTTTAAAAAAAAGAAAAGTCTTTAAAAACCAAAGTATTTTTCCTCAAGCTCTCTCTGTGTGTTTGTAACAGGAAAGATGAAAGAGGTATGGAAAGAAAAAGAGGGAGATAAAAGACTTCATTCACACAGGCCAAACCTACTAAGCCAATTAAAAGTATGAAAAGTCAAGGTCTAAATGGGCTCAGGACAAGGAGCAGGTCTCTTCTGTTTTTAATAATTTTTTTCCTTTTGTGGATTTGTTTTAGTGAAGTTGAAGCTGCCAAAATTTCACCTGTCCCAGTGGACCAGGCATATAATTAAATGGCTAATTTGATATGTATGGATTTCATTTAATGGAATAAATCGTCATTTGATTTTTGCCTCTCCAACCTCTAGTGATACATAAGTACTTATTGATTTCAAATCATTTGGCCTTCCCCAACTTTCTCCCTCCCTTTTCTTTCCTCTCTCTCTCCTTATTCTTCTTCTTTTTAAGAAAACACCATTGCTTTTGTTTGTGGCAGTTTAATTATGGGATTGACAGCCATTTTAATCTCTTCAAAGCTCCCCAACTGCCTCTTTTCAGCTAATCCAATTATATCTACTCCACAAGTTACAGCCTCATCTAAAGATGATTAATTATTGATTAAGCCAATCAAAAAGCATTAAGAAAGATTTATTTAATCTTTTCATAGGCTCTTATTTATTGTATAGAGATTATGTCAAATGTACATGTTGAGATGCTAACTCTAGTCCTCCTCCCACCCCAATAAGTCAGCAGTGTACTTTAAAAGGAGCCTTGAAGAGGCACATGAACTGCTTAAAACTTACTTCTCACAGAAACGGGCATCACCCCCTAAAAACATGTCTACAACAAGAACCAACATGGCAGCAGTTGTAATGCTGGTGGGAGTTGGAGTGAAGGAAAATGATAAAACCTCCTCTCCCTCTGCTTCCTTGCTGTTGTCCCTTAGGCCAGAAGGGCTCCCCTCGGAAGGGCCGGCCACATAGCAGTGTGATGGTGTTATAGCTGCAGAGAAACTTCCTGGGGAAGGGGAAGAACAGCTCAGTGGTCACTGGATAAGTCAACAGGAACCTAATCAAGCAGCTCTGGCTAGTACCAGAAGACTATTGCTGAGAGTCTGAAAACTCTATTTGAGTAATGTGGATGGTTGACTGGTTGAGGCTGCTAAATATTATAAGGTAGGAAATGTGTTTCCTGATCCAAGAAATGGGGTCAGAATCATAGAACTTAAAGTTGAAGGGGCCTTAGAGATCATTTAGTCCAACCCCCTTGTTTAATAAAGGAGACTGAGTGACTTACCCAAGGTCACATATCTAGTGGCAAAGTTGGACCTGGGACATAGGTCTCTGAATCCCAGTCCAGTGCTCTTTGCAGCACACACATCTGGATTAACTGCTATAACTGTACTGAAGGAACACACTCTTGAGTTCAGCTGTTCAAGGACTATGTGACAGGAACTGTGTCATATACTGGGAAGAAAAGGAAGACTAGGCACACCTGCTGCCCTTGAGGAGTGAGTGAAACATATACATGAAAAATAACTTAGAACATAATGGGGTAAATGCTGTAACAGAATCATGAACAAAAGAAATAACAGCTCCTGAGATGAAGCATCAACCAAATTGCCTGGGGAAGGTGGGAACGGCACCTCCAATGAGGTATCCTATGCCACGCGAAGGTAGTACAGAACTTTTCAGGCAAAGGGTCTGTGTGGAGGGCTCTGTATGGTCCCAACTACTTGTGATTTTTTTTCTGTAGACCTCTATGGATTGTGTCAATTTCTTTCTCGGCTCCCATGAAGCTGGGACAGGGCCCAGTGTTTGGGGAGTGGCGAGGTTCAATGAAGCAGCAGGAGGAGGCAAGGCTGCAAAAAGGGTAGTTGGGGGGTCTAGTGGCATGTGTCTTGAATGCCAAAGCAAGGAAGGAGCTCGGGTCTTAGCCTGTAAGGAATGCCCTATCAGGTTTGCTTTATAGGGAAGTATCTCTGGCAGCAGTGCAAAAGACACACTGGAATAGGGGAAATTGCGGCGGGGAGATGAGCCATGAGGATGTCACTGTGACAGTAACGGCATGAGAGGAGACAGAGAGCTGGATCATGGCTGTGGCTGTAGGAAGGAAAGGCCTTCCTTCCAGGGCACAGCTGTGGTCCGCTGGAAGGGCGGAGGTGGGGAGTGAGGAGCAGAGCGTGGCTGTGGCCTCGCTCCGATGGCCACGTGGGCAGCGACCCACTCGCTGCGGCAAGAGCACAGCAGGTGCAGCAGCTCGGGGGCGGGGGCAGACACTGACATCTTTCAGGACAGCGAACAGCTCTGCATGACAACCAGGGAGAAATGCTTAGAGGAACCAGAAAACAATCTGCTTCCACTGAAACTTCTCTTCAGCATGCATACATACTATACATATCTATACTTTAGTAACAGTTTCCTAGTTCTGATGGTGCTGAAGGACTTTGTGATACTGGACACTGTTTACTAATAATCGATACCAAAGGAGAAGGGGATCACCTTCTGGGGTGAAACATTAAGGGATCAGAAAGTTCAAAGGTCTGAAGGGGCTGGTGGACTGAGGGTACAGTAAGGTGGGGGTGGGGTTGAAGGGTATGGGTAGGTAGAAGTCGGATCAGCAGATGAGACTATAGGAATTCTACCAAGATAGTGAATTGCTGGGTGGATATGCCATCACTCCTAACACTCCAGCATTTCTTTGGTAACAGGATGATATTGGAGCTAGCTACCAGCTTGCACAAAGTAGCTAGCACTTTATCATCCAAACCCAGGAGGAATATTTTCAAACCAAGTCTGTCGATTTCACCCCTACTCCCTAATCCAATTTTACAATACAAATAATTAAGAACATTACAAAAATTTTATGGCCAAATTATGGGAATTCATCTATAGAATAAAGGGGCTCACATTTTAATTCTCATTTATGAACTATTCTTCTCAAGGCTTTATTTTTTAGGTCTTCTGTATCACCCCTCTACTAACATAGAAGCTCCTCTGAGGGTATGAATTATTGTCTTTTCCACATGGCTCCATGCAATGCTTGGTCTTACTGACATTCCTGTAGGAGAGGTGTCAGTGGTAACTGGCCACATAATCATGCATTCGTGCAAATAAATTAAGGCAGCAATGTGATATAGTGGAAAGAACAAAAAGATCTAGAGTCAGGAAGTCTGTCTGAAGTCCTGGCTCTTCCACTTACCAGTTGTGTGATCTTGGGCAAGTCTCTGAGTCTCTGTATTCCCATCTGTGAAATGGGGATAATGATACTAGCACTACCTACTTCCTAGTGATGACTTAAGGGGTAATAGTACTAGCAGTGGTAGTAGTAATTGCAATAATAATAGTGCAGATGGAAGAGCTCTATGAACTGTAAAGGAGTCCTAAATATTAGTTATCATTATTGTGGTATAGTGAAAGGCATATATAGGTTTTGGAATCAGACAGACCTAAGTTCTAATCCTGGATCTACCACTCACTAGCAGTAAGACCTTGAACTCTCTGAACTTCAATTTCCTTATCTGTAGAATTGGGATAGGAATACCCAGTTCACTGAGTTGTCATAAGGGTGAAAGGTCATTCTACATAAAAAGTGCATAGTGCAATGGCTGAAATGTAGTTGGAACCCACAAGATGCATTTCCCGTCCCTTATGTGTTTATGGAAGGAAGGTTTCCACAAGATTGTTAGGGTACTCTTTGGGAATAAGTGGGAGAAGAATATGCAGAAGCAAATAAAAGACATGGTCCCTGTCCTCAAGAAGCTTTTTAGTCAGTTCAGAAGGTAAAACACACACACATTAAACAATATTAAAGGAATTACAGAACAGCAGATCAACAAGCTTGAGATGATTAACAGGCAGAGCCCTGCTTTCCCTAGCTTGACAGTTCTGTACACCCTTACTGTATCTGAAATGTGTTTAAAGGTGAGTTTTCATACTGTTTGGGAGTGGAAGGAGAGAGGATCACTTACAGATATGTTACTGTTTTTTGCTTATGGACCCCGGGCTTACTTTTCAAACCCCCATCTTAACGATTCTGATCTTCCTCTCTATCAATCATATAACAGCCCACAAATACCAAAATGAAGTCTTTGATATAGAGACTTACTCCTAAAAGGTCTGATAAATGACCTGGTTATACTAAACTGTTTCATTTAATAAGATCTGTTATATCTAGATCAGCAAGATGTGGACAGAGAATGGGAAGCGTTCATGAGTACCACAGAACCGTTATTCCACCAGTCATATGGGCTACGTACACGTGGGAGGGACGCGGAGGAGATGGGGATGCTGATCACAGGCTCCCGGCAGGAGATGGACTCAGGGCCAGACTGTAATGGCAGTGATGGACATGGATTCATGGGGAGAAAGGCATCCCAGAAGCAGAAGATTAGTCAAGCAAAGGCACAGAAGCAAGAGTTAGTTGTGTGCAGGGATTGGCAAGCAGGCTGGCTTGGCAGAGGTAAAGGAAAAAGAAAGCTCAAAACAGATATGGGGTACAAAAGAGGATTTGGATGGAGACTTTGAAATCCTGGGCTGACAAGTCTGGATTATAGTACAGAGGTATTTTTGTCTTCTATTTCAAGGGTCCCATATTTAAGAATATTTATTAAAAGTAATTCTCATTACAAACATTGAAGGCTATAAAACAATATTCCTTTAACATACTAAAAAGATAATGTTCTATGCTTTATTCATTTTCATATCCCTATGTGTCTAGCACAGTGCCTTGCAGATAGTAGATCCTCAATAAGTGTTTATGAACTCAATTTACCTGCAGTTGGTATTATCTTGAATTTTCACAGAAAGAAAAGGTATGGTGTTTTATGGGACTCCTAATAAACAAACCCTGACCAAGAGAAAAGCTGGATCTTTAGGTAGAAGGTTCACGTTCACCACCAAGATTTACAGTT